ACCTGAGCTCGGCCTGCTCCCGGCGGCGCCTCTTCCAGCAGGGCTCGCTGGCCGCCTTCGCCGCCGTGCCTCTGAGGCTGCCCGCGGCCGCCGCGCTCGCCGCCGCCGCCGCCGCCGCCGCCTCTCCCCAGCTGGACTTCCTGGAGGGCCACTTTCGGACCTTTCGCCTCCCCTTTTGCGAGGCTTACACGGCCTGGGACCTGCTGCTCGGCATGGCCGGCCCGGAGAGCTTGGACTGCAGCCTGTCCAACCTGCTGCTGGATTTCCTGTCTGCTGCCGCGGGAGCCCAGCGCGGGGAGGCCTGCAGCAGCTGCCTGGAGGCGTATCAAAGGCTGGACCAACACGCTCAGGAAAAATACGAGGAGTTCGAGCTTTTGCTGGAGAAATATCTGCAGGCCGAGGATTATTCTGTGCGCTCCTGCATCAGAGACTGCAAGGTAGGGAGGCAGCCGAGCAGGGGGAGGGAGCAGGAACTTTCCCCTTGGGCTTGTCCCTGGCTTTGGGTGCAACAGCTGGTCAGCCTGTTGGGATTCTGCTTGTCTCAAAGGTACCTCCCTCCCTTCTCTCTTGATCACTACTAGTGGACCATCTCTTTTGCTGCTGATAAGCAAGATTTGGGCTTGGCAGAAGGGTTGAGATGGGGGAATGCTAGCCACAGAGGGCCAGGCCATTGGCTTCTGGCAGGCTGGCTGCTCTGAACCCTAATTCTGCTTTTCTTGCAGCAGCCCTGCTCAGAATTTCTCGGGAAGAACTTAGAGGGCCACTAGAGTTCCTCAATAACTTGCTCTACAGCAGGGCCAGTTAATGGCTGGGAATCCGATCTTGCTTGGTAGTGAAATAGCCTTGTGATTAAATAGCCACACTGAATTGACCACTACTCAGGACGCTTTTGTTTCCTCTGTAAGACTCATTCTTTTGATCTAGCACCAAGGAGTTTTTTGAAATCTTCTCTGCCATACTTTACTTTTCTTAAGAAGGCATTGAATCTGCCTTGTTGACAACACTCTTCATTGCATGATATTTTAATCTCAGCTTTTGCTTTGGACTGTTAGCTGCTTTGAGTCACCTTGTTGAACAGAAATATGGAATATTTAGTTATTACGTATTCCTGTAGATGTCCCAAAAGTGTTCTCTTTAATTGTGCATCAGCTTATTATAGTTTCCAAACTTTGCTTACATCAAAACTTTTTAGAAATTTTACTTTGGGATGTTTGATCGTAAGGACCTCCCACTTCCCAAGGTTCCCCAGGGTTGCCTTTAGGACAGACATAATAACTGCACTCCAGGGCATCTAATCCACCCCAAAGCCTCTTCCCAAAGTTGCTCCTGCTAGTAGACATGAGTGTTGGCCAGATGGATGTGGCTGTGCTTGACTCAATGGAACTTCAGGCCCAGTTTAATGGGCAGCACTTGCAAGGGTAACTCACATTGAACTCAGTGGAAGGTAGCCTCGGAGGCCAGGGCACAGGTGGCTGAGAAGGGCACTGACCTGCCCCCCTCAGCCCCCTCTGGAAATAAGATATCCCGATCAAGAATGGAAGCCCAGAGAATTAATAGCTCTTGCAGAGATAGAGATGAGTAAGAAGAGTTGAAAACATGACCTGGAGCATTTCTGGGTTGTAAAAAAAATATATAACCAAATTGGCTGTATTTTTTAATCTTTTAAATGTTGCAACAAAGTCAAAAACAAATACAACACTCTATTTATTACCGGTAGGTACTGTAAAATTAATCATATGCTTAGCTACGTGGATTTTTGTTTACATACAATATAATTTTCAGTTTGCATACAATGTAAATTTCAGTATTCTTCATATAAGAATTACTTTGAAAGTTACTTCCTCTCTGAAAAGGTTTTTCAAGTTATGGTGTACATAACATTAAATGCACCACTTTTAGAAAGTGGAATGTGCATTCAAGAAATAAGTGCAGGGGCCACTGGTTTTCATATGGGCTTGGAAATGTAAGGGGACTTGCTGTTAACATTAGCTACTGTAGTTCCGTCCAAAATTATTCCTCATACAGAGTTAACATTAAGAAAAAATAATCACATTGGCATAGGATGTTTTTAATTTGGAACTGAAGGGTTAAATGTATCTACTCTGTGTCCTCTGATCCCACAATAAATTATTCCACCTCATTATACAGTAGCATTATATTAAACAAACATGTTTATACCATGCATGTTTAATATAACATAAAGTTAGGCTTTTAATATTAGGTGGAGAGGAGGGGATAACATTTCTGGTGTTTCTATTGATATTTGCATATCAGCTTTGACCGTGGGGCCTTCACGGGGAGAAGGAATAGACAGTGCCTGAGATTTTCTGCATTGTCACAATATGACAGTGTTGGAAAATAAATTATAATCGGAATCCAGATGGTTTAGTTCCATTGATTTATACACTTGGTTGAGAGGGGAATCGTCCTGCCATCCTAACTTTTGGAGATTGGTAATGATCCAGTGCCCATGAGTCTCAGTGTGTCCAATACTATGTCATTTTATTTTGTCAGGTATTCTGTTTAATTTTTTAAAAAAAGGAACAGTTGGCCTCCAACAATAAGTTCATGTCTAAGAATCACTCTGGGATCATCGCATTTCAGTCCTATAGATGTTCTCAGAAAAAAGTGTTGACCGGCCTCGGATGAAAAGTGTCCAGAAGAAGACACAAACAGCTGGCATTAGAGAGGATTTAATTTAAAAGTGTAACTTTTCCCAGGTCATCTACCTTTTTTTTTCACTGACTTCTGGTGTGGTTATTTAAAAGCGGTCGTCAGTCCAGGAAAAAAAATGTATCACTGGTATTAGAGTATTGCATATTATATAATGACTGTACTTTTAGCAACATATTCAAAAACTTTGAATGACTTTTATGTTTTCAGATATAGTGCATACATACATGGAACATAGAATAATAGAGTTGGAAGAGACCTTGGAGATCTTCTAGTCCAACTCCCTGCTCAAGGAGGAGACCCTATACCATTTCAGATAAATGGTTATTTAGTCTCTTCTTGAAAGCCTCCAGTGATGGAGCATCCACAACTTCTGAAGGCAAACAGTTCTTCTGGTTGATTATTCTCACTGTTAGGAAAGTTCTCCTTAGTTCTAGGTTGCTTCTCTCCTTGATTAGTTTCGATCCATTGTTTTTTGTCTTGCCTTCTGGTCCTTTGGAAAATAGGCTGATCCCCTCATTTTTGTGGCAGCCTCTCAAATATTGGAACACTGCTATCACGTCTCCCCTAGTCCTTCTTTTCACTAGACTAGACATACTAATTCCTGCAACTGTTCTTCATATGCTTTAACCTCCAGCCACCTAATCATCCTTGTTGCTCTTTTCTGCACTCTTTCTGGAGTCTCAACATCTTTTTACATTGTGACGACCAAAACCGGATGAAGTATTTTAACATATATATATATGAAGCCCTCAGATTTTTTTTTTAGAGGATTGTAGAAGATTTAGAGATATTACAGTGCTGTTAAGCTCTCTTGCTCTGCAGTACAGGTCAGACAGCAGCTTGAGGATGTAGAAACCTAATAAAATGGTTATATACTGTGAATGAATATTTCTTCATCTGGAACGTGGGAAATTGTCTATTCTGGATTCCCCCAAAGCAATAGATTTCAGGAATGCTCCTAGTTTCTCCATTGTCAATGAGACCTAATCTGTATATGCTGATATACCAGCTGCACCTATTCCTGTACAAGGATAATTCAAAATTGGAAAAATTACTCAATTTGGGCTGCCATTTGTACTAGCTCAAAAGCTACGCAACTGGTTATTAAAGGCAGTACATGCTGAATTCATCACCTCTGCTGAAAATACTGTGTTGGCTGCTAGTTGCTATGGTCAAAAGGTCAAACTGCACATGGCCTGAAGCAATGTCATCGACTCAGGAACCTTTAATATTTGGGGAGAACAGAGGTTTCTCCTTCACTGCTGATTTTGCTTTTCTTACAACAGGCTGGTATAAAGCCTGGCCGAGTTTTGAGCCACTACTAATATGATATTGAGACTTAGAATGAGGTGTGAACACAACACCTTTGCTACTTCAGCTTTGTTTCCTGTGAGGTAGTGCAGTTTCCTGGCAAGTTGTGAACTTCTCTCAAAAAAGGAGAGGTGATTTTCAGAGCTCTCCGGTAAACCGGAAGTTAGATAGCCAAAAGAGGAGGTGTTGCCTGTCCAATAGGAATCCTATCTTCATTCAAGGGTGTTATTGTATAAATCTGGCCCTTCGCCTTTCTGAAATAGTTATGCCCACCAGAAGCATAGACATGTCCACAGGATGCAGGCTTTCATCACTGTAGCAAAAGCAACAGTGTGCCATCCTAATGCAACTCCATTGCTTTTAAGGAGAAATATCATAGTGAATATACAAAAAGGGTGGCACTTGTCTTACATTGATGTGATGCTGCTTTTGTCATTTGCCCTTTCTTAACACCCCTGCCCCCCAATCCGTGAAAGTCTCTGGAGATAGCCCACATAGAATAGAAGTGTGGTCCATGATCCATGGAGGGCAAGGTACTACGTGAGGATCTTAATACCCAGGATCAAGTTAGATGTTTTCATCCATGTGATCTGTAGCTCAAAATGGAGATGGAGAACTAAATCCACAGAGTTGTAGGTGTTGACCTCTGGGAGAAAGGGATTTTGCTCGGCATGTTTGGGACTAAATCTTCTCTCTCTGGAATTGATTGTCTGTATCAACTGACCCAGTTTTCCTATTTGCATGACATTTTGACCTGTGACCCAGTTAACGTGTGTTGCACAAAACACAACCGCTAACTCTATTAATATTGATTCAATGAAATGTAGTTTTTATTGTGATCCCACAAACTACTTTTTGGAGTGTGACAGTGATGTGCCCTCTCCTCCCCTCAAAATAAAGTTCTGAACCCTTGATCTAGCAAACAGAGTTGCTTGATCTTTGATAGATATTTCTATAAATGTGACAGGGTCCCATCTAGGAACTGATGTTTTCTCAGGTTTGAGCTGAACTTGACCCGTTTCTGGGGCAGAATGGCTCCTTCCACAAAGCCAGCAAGGCATCCATTTGGAACAGCCGGTGACCCCACGCTCTCCCAGCTCCATTACACCCGAAGCCTTTTCACAGACAGGCCTGCTGGTCAGTGAGGGGAGAGCTTCCTCGACCCCCAAGACCCTTCGGCTATCAGGTCCCCATGCCAGAGTGCAACAGGGCCGGCCGGCCAAGGAGGTCTCTTTCCCGCTGCCGCCCTGGTTTCTCCCTCCACACCGGCCCTCTCAGGAACTGGAGAGGATGGAAGCCCCCCCCCCCCCCCCGTTAAGTAACAAAAAGAGAAACCAAATCTGTAGCCCAGCCCAGTTGAGATAAGGCCACTGGCCAGAGTTGAAATAAAAAAATAAACGTTATTAAAGGGGTCTATGGAGATTCTCAGTCATCCAGGTCCTGGTTGTCC